TGAACCATCACTATTTAGTAGTTCTGCTACTCTAAGATCCATATGATGCAAGGAGCCATTACTAATTGGCATTGAGGTTCTTCTTGTTAAAGTGGGAACCCAAGGATCAGTGAAGACCTCTATCTTCGCTCCATCCTTGATTAACTAGGGCATGCTTTCCTTCAGTTTTGGAATAATTTTCTGAACTTGGTTCCACCAGAAGGAGCTGTTTTGCTTTGTTCTAGCTCTGAGTAGGCTTGTACTTGGAAAGTATTTGCCCTTGATAGCCTGGCTCCAAAGAGAATTTGGAGATTGTAACAACCTCCATACCTGTTTACTGAAGAGTGCTTTATTCATCTAATAGAGTTTCTCGAGTCCTAATCCTCCTTTGTCTTTTGGTGAGCATAACTTTGACCAAGCTATCGAGTGTTTGCTCTTTGTATTTGAGTTACTCCACTAGTAGTCCCGAAGGAGTTTCTCTAGTGTGTTATGGATTATTTTTGGCAATATGGTGGTCAACATAGGGTAGACTGGCACTGATTGCACCACTATTTTTATTAAAGTTAAGATTTGTGAGAGAAGTTTTGAGCTCCACAAGTTTACTTTTGATTTGATTTTTTCTACCAGTTCTTGGTGAAAGGAGATTTTTTTGTCCTTTGTACCAATCTTTAACCCCAAGTATTTTGAGCCAACCATAGGTTTTTGACTTGTAGGACTGCAGAGATGAATTTCTAGTGGTGTCTTGCCACATTACTGCTAAACATGTTGGATGATTTTCCATGATTTATATTATGACCAGATAGTAACTCGAAAGTTTTGAGGGTGTCTGTCAGAGTTTTAACTTGTGATAATTCTRTATGGTAGAAGAGAACTACATCATCTGCAAATAGAAGATGTGTAAATACAGGCCCATTCTTACTTAGTTTTATGCCTTTGAGTTCTCCATTCATGTTTGCTTGGTCCAGAAGCCTGCTAAGAACTTCCATGCTAGTGATGAAGAGATAAGGTGATAGAGGATCTCCTTGTTGTAGTCCTCTACACAAAGAGAAATGTTCAAAGGCTTCCCCTCCAATTTTAATAGAGTAGGTTGGGGTGGAGATGCATTGATGTATGAGATTACACCATTTCGTTGGGAAATTCATTTTTCCCAAAACTGCTTTCAAAAATTGCCAACCCATTCTGTCAAAAGCCTTTGACATGTCGAGCTTGACTGCCACATAACCTTTTCCTTTTTTTTTGTGTCCTCAAGAGATGGGTGAATTCCTTCATTAAGAGTATGTTATATGTTATTTGCCTATTTTTGAGGAAATTCACTTGGGTTGGTGATATGAGGTCCTGCAGTAATAGCTACATCCTGTTTACCATCCACTTAGAGATGATCTTGTAGATGACATTACATGAACTGATTGGCTTGCAATGAGCCACATTTGATAGAGCATTGATTTTTGGTATGAAGACTAGATTTGTGTTGTTTAATTCTTTGGATAGTTTCTCTAATCAAAAGAAATTCTTGATCAAGGCACAAATATCCTCCCCCATAATATTCCAGTACTTTTGATAAAAATAAGCTGTGAAGCCATAAGGGCTTAGAGCTTTGTGCAGGTGTAGTTGCTGCACTATGTTGCGAATTTCCTCCATTGTTGGTTCTTGTAATAGGGATTCTATCTAATGTGGTTTCAGGCATGGGAGTGATAGATGATTTAAGGAGTTGGGATCAAAATTTTTTGGTATGTCCCCTGTTTGTAGTATGGATTGTAGAAGAAGTTTAGAGATGCTCTTTTTCTCGTGCACCCATGTCCCATCTGATTTTTGTAGCCATAGGTTTGTATTCATTAAGTATTTACGTTTTGTGGATTGATGGAAGAATTTTGTGTTTTTATCTCCATCTCTGAGCCAGAGCTCTCTAGATTTTAGTCTCCACAATTCTTCTTCTTTTTGGAGCCATTAGTAATACTGGTTCTTCAGAGAATTTAGCTCATCCATGTGTTCAGCAGAGTTGTATGACATTTGAAAATTTAATATATTGAGAGCTATCTTTTGTAGATGATCTCTGATGTTTCCAAAACTCTCTTTGTTCTATTCTTTCAGGGTTTTTTTGCATTCTTTGAGTTTTTGTGTCACCYTATAACCCTAGCTTCCTTGGAGTGGCTTGGACCAAGCTTCCTCAATGGCAGAGGAGCACTCTGGATGTTCTAACCAGAATGGGAGAAAGTGGAATTGAGATATAAAGGTTGATTAGATATGAGAAGTGTTTAGCTTGATTAGAGCATGGTTTGAGGAAATGATTGGAAGATGGAAGAGAACAACATTTGGGAACAATCTTACCCAGTCTGTGGATGCTAGGGCTCTATCTAGTCTTTCTAGAACTTTATTGTGTCCTGTTTGACCATTTGTCCATGCATAAGGAGGACCAGAGAAGTCCAAGTCCACTAGTTACTGAATTAAGATTAGTTCTTGTAGGGATTTGGATAGTTTTGGAGGAGCACTTTTGAAATTTTTTTGATCATGAAGTTGGTAAATATCATTCAGGTCACCTAGAAGGAGCCAAGGGTGCTGCATTTGATCCATTAGTGATGATATTTGTTTCCAAAGGAAATTCCTGTGGCTTTTCTTAGGATGGCCATAGAACAATAGAAGATTCCATGGGTGGCTTGGTGGAGCATTCTTTACTACGAGATGGATCAAGTGTCTACTAATTGATATAACATTGATTTGTGACTGTTTGACCAACCACATAGGAGGCCTCTAGATTGACCTTGAGCCTCGAAAATCACTGAGTTTTGTAAGTGTATGTTGTTGATCAGATCCTCACTTTTTTGTTTAGTCATTCTAGTCTCACTTAGATAAATTAGGTCGGGTCTCTTAATGGCACTTAAGCTCTGGAGATGTCTGACCTTTTTGAAGCCATTTGCTCCTCTTGTATTCCATGCCAGAAAGATCATGATAAAGAATAATTCATAAAAGAAATAACTTGTCTTAAATTGGAAGCTGAAGGTGAGAAGGGGAGGTACCTGATGGAGATATGGCATGTTGTTTTGAACAAGTGAGAAGTTGTTATAGTGAGAATTGAAAGCCATCAGATCAGTCATGTATTGGTCCAATGCAAGATTATCCAGGATTGTGGATTGATGCTGATAAGGAGCTGCTGTTAGAATTCTTGGGCTCATCAGAGAGCTTTGGAACTGGTTCATTGTGGGATTGTTAAGCTCTTTTTCATCCATCGGGAATCCTGAGTGGAGTTGTGATATTTGCCCTTTATCTATTATCATTAGCTGCTTTGAGTTGGAATCTGCAAAGTATTTAAAAGGAGGTCCATGCTTTCTCTTTTCCATTACCATATTGTAGACCCCGAGTCGGCCAAATTTTGTGAAATAGTAAGAGACATGGCCACCTCTCGAAATGTGCCAAAAAGAAGCTTCACTAGTTGGCATTTCTAGTGTTCCTTCAGTTGGGTTTTGACAGTGTTCTGCATGTGGCACACGTGGCTTGGATGAGCTTGCATGGCCARCACCTGTCCGAGCTAATGTTCCATTTGCTAGTGCATGCAACAAGTCCATCTGGCCTTGGGTGTTTAGGCTAAGTTGAGGGTGTGACTCGGAACGAGTGTTCAACTCAGCTGTGTTGTGTTGTTGGTGACCTTCGTTGGAGGTGTTGAGGAATCTGTGCTTATGGGGACATCGGTCTTCATCTTCAGTATCTTTATCGGAGCCATGGTCTCCATGTCTGGTGTTGCAAGGTTCCGGAGCATGTAGTTGCGAAGAGAAGGTTGGAATCTTTAGGGAAGCATCTTGCCCGTGCTCTGCTCGTAACCAGTCACCCGGATGGTTTATTGTGCGGTTTTCCAGAAAGACTTTGTAGTTATTGATTGTTGGATCTCTTCTTTTGCAATTGTACCAAACATGCCCTACTAAACCACTATTTGCACATACCCTTGGTAGCTGTTCGTAGCAGTAGCGAAGCTAGATGGGATTCTCAGAGAAGATGGTTTTTTTTTTGGTCATAAAAGCCTCTCGTAAGGTGGCCCGAGTTGATCTTTTCCTGATTTGGAACAACTTTCCCTACAAAGCTTGCTAGGAAGTAGACTCTTGTGTCTTCTACCATGTTTCATGGAATCATGTGAATCTACAACCAGACTCGTTGGGTCCATACTTTCTCTATTGCCCCGGTAGCAAAGTCCGACCATTATTCTAATAAAATCCAGCTTGATTTATAGAACTACGAACCTCCTTCCAAGGTTGCTTTTTTGTTTGCATGTTGTTCAAAAATGAATTCAATGTTGCCGTTGTCAATAAATTTAACTGAAACTGTAGTGAAGATATTCCATAGTTCTTTAATGTACGATGCTATATCTTTTTCATTGACTTGCTATCGAGGGAATATTCTCCCTTTCAAGGTTAAATATGTGAGAGGTTTACTACTTCTTCCCACCGGGCTTAAACTAGGAATTTGGTGTTATGTTCCTAGAGTTATAGCTTTAGAAAATTTGATGGTGAAGTATGTCTTTTCAAGCATCAATTCATCATAAGAGATTACTCTTTTACCCTCGTAGGTGTGGCTTTTGATACTCCTTCGGTGCATGCAAGGTGTCTTCATATTCTAGAACATCTTTTTCTTTTGAAACTCTACCCTTTTTTTCTTTTTTCATTTTGACCCGAAGACCACCGTATGATATGGTAACTCACAGTGAAAATACTGTTACTCTCGGTGAAAAGATAATTTAGGGAGATAATAACCAATGGCAGCTTCTTAGATGTAAAAACTGGCCGACGATTCGATGGCTACTCTTCCGATACAGGTACAAGAGGGTTGCAGCGAGAGAGTTTCAGACGCGAGGTCGACTACAGATCGTGAGTGATCGTGAGAGGTCGACCTTACCGCTCTACTTTTTGTACGGTAATCTTCGGACCCAAAACTCCAAAGTCCAAACTCGATCGACATTAAAAAGTTGAAACCGCGTTGCCTTGGGATTGAAATCATTGGAATAAATAAATAAAATAAAACAATAAAGTGCGTCACTCTGCGTTATCTCATTCTAACGCGCCAAGTTCTGTTATTATAAAACAGCTGGAGCACTTGCTCAACAGAGAAGCACTTCAATACTGCAACATGATGGGGCTGCTGCTTTGCTTCCGCAAACACAATATTCTTTTCTCTTTCTTCTTCTTAATCCTTCTGCACTCAGCTTCTCCTGCCCTTGCCACCGTCGAGGCAGCCACAGCCAGCAGAACCACCATTAGTATTATTGGTGGAGATCAGACTGATAAGATGGCCTTGCTCGCATTCAAAGCTCGCATAACTCACGACCCTCTTGGGGTTCTCAGCTTCTGGAACGATTCTCTGCATTTCTGTCAGTGGCCAGGAGTAACCTGTAGCGGTCGTCATTCCCCCAAAAGGGCCACACTCTTGGACCTCAGTTCACAAGGTTTGGAGGGTTCTATTTCACCAGACATCGGAAATCTCAGCTTCGTTGGTGAGATCAGGCTCCTAAACAACAGCTTACATGGTGAGATTCCACAAGAGATTGGCCGTTTGTTCAGGCTAAGAGCTCTAGACCTCAGCAACAACTCACTGGAAGGCCAAATCCCATCCAACCTCTCCCGCTGCTCCAACCTCATGTTGCTTGCACTCAATCACAACCACCTTGGAGGCAACATTCCAGTGCAACTTGGGTCGCTGGTGAAGTTGGAGGTTCTTAGACTTAATCACAATAATTTGACAGGAGATATCCCACCTTCTTTGGGTAATCTTTCAACCCTTGTTAGTCTTTCTGTATCAATAAATAACTTAGAGGGTAGCATTCCTGAATCATTTGGAAGATTGACAAGATTGACTTTTCTAGCATTGGGTGCCAACAGACTATCTGGTACTATACCTCCCTCAATGTACAACCTTTCCCTCATTACTACTTTCTCTGTGGTAGCTAATAATTATCTTGAAGGGAGTCTTCCATTTGGTCTGGGCCTCACTCTTCCTAATCTGCAAGTGCTGAACATTGGGGGAAACCAATTTTCTGGACCTATCCCTGTTTCTTTGTCCAATCTTTCCAAACTTGAATTTCTTGACATAAATGGTAACAATTTTACTGGGAAGGTGCCTATTGATTTCATGGGATTGGGGAATCTATCATGGTTGGCCCTGAATAACAATCATCTAGGGAGTGGAGATGCAGATGACCTCAGTTTTATGGACTCATTGGTTAATTGTACTAGTTTGCAACTTTTGGGTCTAGATGGCAACCATTTCGGAGGGGTGCTGCCTAGTTCTATTTCTAATCTCTCAATCAATCTTGGATTATTGACACTAGGAGATAATCAAATATCTGGAAGAATCCCAGAAGGGATAGGCAACCTTGTGAATTTGAATGTATTGGGAATAGAACTCAACCAATTAACAGGCAATATTCCCAATTCTATTGGGATGCTTCAAAATCTAGTAAAGCTTTCTTTGCATAGAAATTCTTTATCAGGGCAAATACCATCTTCTCTAGGAAATTTAACACTATTGACTGTACTTGGTCTTTCCATAAACAACTTCAGTGGTAGCATTCCTCCATCCATTGGAAATTGTCAAAATTTAATCTTTTTAGATCTTTCTGAGAATAATCTTACTGGTGCAATACCTAAACAAGTTATTGGTATTTCATCCTTATCAATTTTCCTAATACTTTCTCATAACCATTTGACTGGTCCTCTACCCATGGAAGTGGGTAACTTGAAAAATCTTGTATCATTAGATCTTTCTGAGAACAAACTGTTTGGTGAAATTCCAGACACACTTGGTAATTGTGTGCGTCTTCAATATCTTAGTTTGCAGGGTAACTTCTTTCAAGGACCCATTCCTCCTTCTCTGAGATTTTTGACAGGTATTGAAGAAATGGATCTTTCACGAAATAACTTCTCAGGCAAAATTTCAAAATACCTAGAAAACCTCCCCTCCTTGTTATGGTTAAATTTGTCTTTCAATGATCTTCAGGATGAGATACCAGTAAAAGGCTTGTTTCAAAATGCAAGTTCTTTTTCAATCATTGGGAATAGTAGACTTTGTGGAGGTATTCCTGAGCTACATTTGCAGGCATGCCCTGTCCATGAATTGAAGGAACAGGGAATGTCTCTTGCGTCCAAGTTGAAGATTGCCATCGGTAGTGGTGTGGTTCTTGTGTGTTCAATCTTATTGATTGTTCTTGTTTTATATTGGACGAAAAAGTCAAAAAAGACTCTGTCTTCTACATCTTTAAAGGACGGCCCTTTAAAAATCTCTTACAAGGAGCTCTTAGAAGCCACCAGTGGATTCTCTTCATCTAATTTGATTGGTGCGGGTGGTTTTGGTTCTGTTTATAAAGGAATTTTGGGTGATAGAACACTTGTTGCCGTGAAAGTACTCAACCTTCAGCAAGGAGGAGCTTTCAAGAGCTTCCTGGCTGAGTGTGAATCCTTGAGGAACATCCGACATCGAAATCTCCTCAAAATTGTCACTTCTTGCTCAAGCATAGACTTCAAGGGAAATGAATTCAAAGCTTTAGTTTATGAGTTCATGATCAATGGGAGCTTGGATATGTGGTTACATCCAAATGAAGATGATGCAGAAGAACAACTGAGAAATTTAAGTCTCTTTCAAAGGCTAAATATTGCAATTGATGTGGCTTCAGCATTAGATTATCTTCACAACCACTGTCAAGTGCCAGTTGTTCATTGTGATTTAAAGCCAAGCAATGTCCTTCTCGATGGTGACTTCACTGCCCACGTGGGTGATTTTGGGCTATCAAAATTTCTTTCAGAAAACAATGGGAAGATCTCTCTGAATCAAACGGCCAGCTCAATTGGCCTAAGAGGATCTGTTGGATACACTGCTCCAGGTATAACCATACTTTGCTCATATTCATGTAGTTTCAAATTCAGATTTTAATTTTTTGTCTAATTATATTGGCAACCTGATACCATGTGTGACCATTCTAAGATAAACTTCTTTAACAAGAAAAGTTCTGCATCTAAGATACGATTCTTTTCATGTTGTCATATTTTTTTTGACATGATTCATCTTAAATTCTATTTGAATACTAACTTGAGATGCATGACTTACAGAGTATGGTTTGGGGGCAGCGATTTCTACCCATGGTGATGTGTACAGCTATGGAATTCTCTTGTTGGAGATGTTTACTGGAAAGAGACCCACTGATGAAATATTCAAAGATGGCTCAAATCTTCATTACTTGGCTAAGTCATCTTTGCCTAATCAAGTAATGGATTTTGTTGACCCAATATTTCTCCACGTGGATGAAGATGAAGAAGACACCTTCAAAAATAATGAGAACCAGAGAATGAGATACAAAGTGCAGCATTGTCTGGTTTCGGTAATCAGGATTGGAGTTTCCTGCTCTATGGAATCGCCAAGGGAACGAATGGACATGAAAGATGTGGTCAACGAGCTATGTCTCATCAGGGACATTTATCTTGGAGTTGCAACTCATAGAAGGGATGATGATTTAAGTGTTCTGATACACCCTTAGCACACTTGAGGCTGTAAGAATTGTTGGTTGCCCTAATTGTCTGTGAATATACACCTTGAAGTTAGGTTCACTTCATGTCTCCAGACATTGGGTGATTGAATTGTTTTAATACTGATTATGACTTTTCTATGAACCATATTCTTGTCATTAACGGGAGCATAAAGGAAATGGGTTTGACATCATGGAAGCTTGAAGACTTGAAGCTCTCTTTTAGCCTGAAGATCCTGAGTGCAAGACATCTTTTCAGATCCCTCCAAGGCAGGGTGGTTTGAAAGGTAATACTGATGCAGGTTTCAAGGGGGAAAGTGTAGCGTCTTTCGGCATTGTTGTGAGAGATTGCCATGCAGGTTTTGTTACTACCAAAGGTGGGCCGATTAATGCTGGCTCTGTTCTGGAGGCAGAAGCGCTAGCCATGCTTCAAGGGGTCAAGTTTGTTTTGAAATTAGGTGGCTATCGCTGTATTCTGGAATCTGACGATGCCCAATTGATTCAATGTTTGGATAAGAATGGTGCCTCCTGTATCAAGGAAATTTTGTTGATGATCATGGACATTCTATCTTATGCTGATAAGTAGGTCTGTTTCTCTCAACAGAGTATCAAACTTGGTGGCTCACAGAATTGCTGAGAAAGGTATTATAAGAGTTCAGGTTATCTGATGTGCTGTACTGCTGTCCATGGAGAGCTGTGGTAATTATATTGGCTTGGCATCCAGTGTCTGTTAATAGGGGTGAGCATGGGCCGGTTCAGTTCGGTTCCATGGCAGAACCTGGAACCTACCCTATAGGAGTTGGTTGCAGGTTTTGGGAACCAGAACCTACCTTGCGAAGGTTGGTGGTGGTTCTAGGGTCGGTTCTAGGGTCTACCCATGGAATTTGTACTTTCTTTACTCTCCTCCACAAAAAAGCATGTTCCTTAAAACATGATTTTTAGTAAATAAAATATATAGTCTAAAACTTATATTAACTTTATTGATTAAATTGGATAACTTAATATGAAGATTATCATTATATGGTTAAAAACTTGTAAATTAAATTTAAATTTTGTAAATATTACCTTTTACACTACTTGTTGTACACATTCAAATATTAAAATAAAAACAAATGATCAAATCACTTAAATAGTCAAGTGAGACCATGGCTTTTGTAACCATGAATGCTTGGATTCAAATCTTCACATGCCAAAACTATTATGGGGCTTATTTCAAGGCAAGTTTGACTCCAAGGCAGGTTTCAACAAGGTAAATTCCACCAATGTCAACCAAAGCCAGTTTATCGGGTCGATTCGGGTAGGGTAAACCCTTAGACCCTGGAACCGGCCTGAGTGGGGGTCGGTTCCAAAAATTTGAAACCAGACCCTACCTTGTAACAGATTGGGTGGGGTTGGTTCAAGGCCAATTTGAGGTCGGTTCCATTCGGTTCTGGGTAGAACCTATCCATTTACTTATCCCTATCTGTTAATATTTGTTATGTTGTCTAGCTTCTCCTTGTCAGTCTGATAATCTGAGTAACTATCAGAATATGATCTACTTGACCTTAAAACTTTTCATAAAAACCAATATGGACGAAATTGCCATGTTCCCTCTATTATAAAGTATAAACATATATTAGTGGGGCCTGCGCAAACGGGAAAATCCAAAATCAAATAATAAGATGGAAGGAATTCAGTGAGATGTAATTTGTATAGAAAATGCATAGTAAAATACTTGAGTAATTAAGATGGTGTTTGGTACTATTACCGTTTATTAGAAACGGTGCCATCTCAATGCCAAGTAGGTATTTCTCTCAATGGAATTTGAAATTTTGTTTGGCTAAGCCATTTATCAAGAAAACATTTTTCTTGGATTATGCAATAGCCATCTATTGGTAGGGATGACAATTTTCTTTGTAAAACCAGGGCCCCACCCTAAATGGGGTGGGTTTTCCCTGATCTTAAATGGTGATGAGGTGAGGATGGGGTTTCTATACAATTTCTTGAATCCACTTCAAACCCAATGGTAAATTAGTAAAATATCCCTAGGTTTAATATTAATTTTTAAAATATCTCTAAGTTTTTTTCAAAATTCTTAAAATCCTAGGATTCCATAATTCCATTTCTAAAGTACCTTCAAATTGTCATAACCCAATTCCTAAAATGCCTTTAAATTTCCATAATCTTATTTTTAAAAAGTCTTCTAATTAGATTAATTTTAGGTAGTTGCATTGGGGTGGGAAAAATTTGGGGTTTCCTTGTCCCCAAGGTTCAAAATATCGATATGCCTGATACGCCGGTAGGGGCATATCGGGCGAATCGATACCCCTTTTTTTTTACTTTTTTTTATTTTTTTTTGAAACCAGTTCAGGGGGTTCGGTTTAGGTCTCCTCCACCCCTTGAACCAGTTAGACCCCTAATACACCAACTATAGGGGTGTGTCAGAGGGGTCCTAGAACGATACGTATCAGCCGATACTAGACCTATTCATGGGCCGGGTAGCTTGATGGCCCAAGGTTCAAAATATCGATATGCCTGATACGTCGGTAGGGGCATATCGGGCGAATCGATACCCCTTTTTTTTACTTTTTTTTTTTTATTTTTTTTCGAAACCAGTTCAGGGGGTTCAGTTTAGGTCTCCTCCACCCCCTGAACCAGTTAGACCCCTAATACACCCACTATAGGGGTGTGTCAGAGGGGTCCTAGAACGATACGTATCAGCCGGTACTAGACCTGTTCATGGGCCGGGTAACTTGATGGCCCGGCCTGCACCCTGGTCGGGCTTGGTCATGTAATTAGGCCCACGGGCTTAACCTCGGGTCTAACACAATAAGCTCGATTGTGTTACGGGACGGGCTTGGGATTTGTCAAAAAAGCCCGGCCCGGCCCGGCCCGACTCAGCATTATATTTTTTATAAAATACATATTATGTATTTTATATATTATATAAAATATATAAATAATATAATATTTATTGAAATATATATTTATAATTTAATATATACATTTTTTTTAGTTTTTTCTTTATAATTTCTCTCTCACTCACTCTCTCTCTATTCAGTCGCTTCAGCAGTAGTAACAACATGGGATAAATTTCGGGTTCGGGCCCAGGCTTGGGCTCGGGCCCAAGTTGTAGGTCCGATGGTCGGGTCGGGCTCGGGCTCAGGCCTTAGAAAATTTTGTTAATACAGAGTGAAAGCCCGGCCCGACCCGACCCATGAACAGGTCTAGCCGATACGTGTCGATACTTTGAACCTTGCTTGTCCCTGATGGGGAGTGGGTGCGTCTTCTTGAACCCGCCTTGCCATTGGCGATGGGGTAAGGATGGGTAGGGATTGCTCCACCCCATTGTCATTCCTATCTATTGGAGGAAATGTTACCCCAATGGTAAGGCATATTTTTACTATTTGGCTTATGTAGCACCTAATGACATCTAATAGTGCCTAGTTGTCATAAAGTAAAAAATAAATGTTGTCTCAATTTTTAAGACAAAATTCAAACATAATGTTTATTCACAAAACGACAATGGAACTAAACATCCCCTAAGTAAATTAATTAATTTTAGTTAAGAAATTAGTAATTAAATAAGATAATTAAATTAACTAATCTAATGTTAATTAAGTAAATAAAGTTAATTAGGAAAATTTAACATAAAGAAGGTGAATCATTTAATGGGAAAATTAACAGAAAATGTAGTGTAAAATAATTGTGGTAATTAAAATAAAACTATTGAAAAATAATACTGAGTTTCTGTTAATTTTTTCATTTATATTAATTAAATTAACATTATATCTATTGTAAAATAATAGAGTAGTTGAGTTAAGTAACAAAAAAATGTTAGAAAATGCATTGTAAAATAAYTAAGTAAATATTATGGAAATCTATAATTAAATAAATTTAGTACATCAACAGTTAACAAAATTAAATAAGTAAATTTACTAATGTACTGTTAATTAACAAAAAATATTGTAAAATTATGTTAGTGTTAATTATCTTTAATTAACATTGGTAATTTACTATTATTGAATCCTTAATTATTGCTTTCTTAATTACTGTTAATTTATTGGTGGATTGGATTGGTCCACATAGATGTGGAACCGACCTTGACTGGTCTTGACAGACCAAACCCAAATGAAACACCCTCAAATATACCCTGAGTTTTCACAAATTGACTTGAACATACCATAAGTTTTTCAAAAAACTTAAATATACTTTATTGGTTGACCCCACTAGACTTAAAACATCCCCTCCATCGATGAGAACGCAAATATGGTGTCATTGACATAGGAAGAGAGCAAAACATATGACGAATGAGGTAATTAGGTTAAGAGAGAAAAATGAGAGAGAGAGAGAGAGAGGATGTGATGTTCTCCATTCTCTTGTGGTATATTATTATAGATGGATGTAAGATAAATTACAGAATATGACATCTTTTTTGGTAAAAAATTACAGAATATGACATTGGAGTCTTGGGATTGTTTAAACAGAATATTCCCCTATCTGTATATGTCTCAAGCTACGGACTGGTTCAATTTGAATGACTCACCCCCATAAACATTTTAAATACTATTTTTTTTTCTTTTTTTGTTTTACACTGAAGCTGGTGGTTTTTATGAAGTTGGGTTCTCATCATGGATTCTAGGTCAAGAGGATGAACTTCCTGGATTTTCTACTTCTGGAGAATGTATTTGCTTTAATATATGACTTTGGGAATCTCGATATGCATACATATCTTCCATTTTAGAGAAGTTGGATATCATTTGTTATGGCTTCAGATTGCATAATCAATGTAGAACTGAGATTTGTATTGCTATGGATTTTAATTATTATCATATTGGATGGGTTTACAATCTTCTCTAGGCTATTGTTTGGACATGACCATGTAGAGAGAGAGAGGTATTCCGGTATGCCTTGTTGCCCACCACTCACATGAATTTGAAAATTTTAAAGTATTTTTTGAGAATTTGAAAGAAAATGAAGGGTAAAATAGTCACAAGGTATATTTAAGTCTTAAAATAAATTCTCAGGGCATGTTTAAGTCAATTTATGAAAAACCTAGGTATGTTTAAGTCTTTTACCTTTAATTTAAACGATAAAATCTAGGTAGTGCGAAAATAACTTGAACCATTTTAACTGTTTTTTTCACCCAATAAGCCAGCTACAATGTTCGCTCTAAGAACCAATACAGTAAGTGTTTCAAGTAGAAACAGATACACCTCTTTTGCACCCAACTCAAGCCATCAACGCTGGATGTTCTCCATTCTATGTTTGAAGGTCCAAACTCAAAAATAGAGATTTGCTTTCTTCTTTGAATGAGAAACAGACAGGATGATGATAGGATAAGAGGGGGTAATTCGGTGGTTCAAATGGTGGTGAAATGGGGTTGTCAAATGGGAAAAATATAAAATAGGATAGGGAGGAGGGAAATAAGAAGAGCAGGTAGGATATGGATGATGAGATATGGGAATTTTAGGAAAGTGGAGATTGAGAGATTGAGAGAGAAAGAATTTAGGAAAAAGTTTAGGTAATTGGGAAGTAGGTCATAATTTTATGAAAATGGGGATTCAAAGATTGAGAGGGAGAGGGATTTTTAAGAATAATTTTATCCTTGTTAACATGGAAACTTGTGAGAGTTAGAAAGGGAATAAGGGAGATACTCTAGAATTGCAGGATTGGGGTAAGGGAGAAAGGAGAGGTCATCTTTGTTTTAATATATACTAATAGATTTTCTATTATTCTCAACTTTTGATCTTACGTCTCAAATCATATTGTCCCTTAAATAGTGTTTTACTTGCTTATTCTCTAACAAAGCTCTATACAAGCTAATCTATGTTGGGCCCTCTTAATTCTACCTGACATTTGAGAAGTAGAAATACGCTTGTACATATAACCTATCATGTTTTTTTTTTTTTCTAATATCTAATAGAAGATTCAAGGCTAGTTAAGGTTTCACAAAGTAATTGTTGATCTGTTTTATTATTTTGGTTGCTAAATTT